CAGGCTCCGAGCTGTCAGCACAGAGCCTGATGTGGGGCTCGAACTCACGAACCACGAGGTCATGACCTGAGCCGAAGTCAGATGCTCAACGGACTGAGCCACCCAGGCGCCCCTCTCGTGTGATTGTTTTTAATTGAAATTTTTATTGAGATAATTGTACATTCATATGCAGTTATAAGATGGAATTATTTTTTTAATGTTTATCTTGAGAAAGGGAGTGAGCATGAGCAAGGGAGAGGGAGAGAGAATCCCAAGCAGGCTCTGTGCTATCAGCACGGAGCTGTAAGCATGGAGCTCAGCGTGGGGCTCAGTCTCACAAAACCCGACATCATGACCTGAGCTGGAATCAGCAGTTGGTCGCTTAACTGACTAAGCCACCCAGGCACCCCTAGATGGAATTTTTTTTTTTTTTTATGTTTATTTGAGAGAGAGAAAGAGAGAGAGAGAGAGAAAGAGCATGAGCAGGGGAGGGGCAGTGAACAAGGGAGACACAGGATCCGAAGCAGGCTCCAGGCTCCGAGCTGTCAGCACAGAGCCCGATGCGGGGCTTGAACTCATGAACCACGAGATCATGACCTGAACTGAAGTCAGTCACTTAACCAACTGAGCCACCCAGACGCCCCAAGATGGAATTATTTTTAAAGACAGGTTATGTCTGTGTTTCAAGGATATGATTTAAGACCCTTTATTATATGTTAGAAAACAATCAATTCAATTACCATGAAATGGTCCCTGTTTATTTGCACCAGGGATTAGCAACCTATGTCCCACAGGCCAAATGCAGCTTTCTGTCTAATTTTATAATAAAGTTTTATTGGGCCACAGCCATGCCCATTTATTTACTTAAGATCTGTGGCTGCTTTTGTACTTTCCTGGCAAAGTTGAGAAGTTGCGTCAGAAACTAGCCCACAGACTTAATATATTTACAGAAAACATTTTCTGATTCCTGATTTAGCAGACTATTTCACGGTCTAAACCTGGCCCTTCGTGACAAGACAATTTTTATATTTCAGTATGTGATGGTTCAAGACATGCTCTCTCCATCCCCCATGGAACGGCCTGAAGCTACGAACATTATTGAAAATGCTGTATTTGAAGACTTGGAATTTCTAGGAAAAACTGTACTCAGACAGAGGTCTCGTTCCATGAGTTCATCAGGAACAAAACATTCAAGACACTGCAGCAGCTCCTGGAGCCCTTTGCCAAGCACTTAGCCTTAACTTATGTTCACACCCCTAACAGGTGACACAGAATGGCCTCTTAGGAATGTGGCTTTCCGAAATTGTGAACTTGAAAAGTTTGTTCTTCGCTCAGTCTTATTTTGGACTGCTCTTTCTAAGTCATATTTAAACTGGATTTGGGGGCATAACCTAATTTGAGCCAACTCTGTACTGCTATACTCCAGAAGAGGGCTCTCACTAAATCATGTGTGGTCCTTGTTCTTCGTGGGTCTCTTGAAACTGGCTGGCCAAGCTTTATAGCCCTCATCTTTGTCTGGGGGCGGGGGGGGGGGGGGGGGGGGGGGTAGAAGCAATCCCTAAAATATAAAGAGCGAATTAAAGGGAAATATTTTTATAGTTCAGAAGAATGACAGTTCCTACATGTGGTAATTATATTGTTCTAGAAATATGCTTTCTAGAGACACAGTGGTGATTTTGAAACTAATTTCCAAAAAAGCTGACTCCGTTTTTGACCTGGTGGGTGGGTGAAGAATCTGCACTATTTTGGAGGACAGGTGGCACAAATTGTATAATAATGGTTTATGTCCATAGCTAGTTTTATAGTGACATTTGTAGTATTGAATAGCTTTATTCCTTAGATGGTTCTAGGGAGAGTTTAAGAGCTTTTTGTGCTTTTACAATGAAGCTTTTTGTGTAAATTGGCCACAAGTTCTGGTTTGGGGAAGGAAAAAGCTGTAGTGAGACATGAATCATATGTTACAACTAACTTCTTCAATGATGGACTTTTTAAACCTAATGAAATCTTAAATGTTTTATGTGTAATCCTGTAGGCTGGTACTTTCCCCAAACTGATTATAGGTAACAGTTTCATCATCTAACTAGCTAACATGTTTTTATTTTTCACTGTAAATATGTTTATTTTTTATTTATAAAAATTCTGAGCTCAATCCATTTGGGTTGGTGGTGTACAGAACGCACTTAAGTGTGTTAAGTATTGTGACTTCTTTCAAGTCTAAATGATTTAATAAAACCTTAAAGACTTATTTACAGTTGGCTCTTCTTCGGGGGAATTGGCTCCCAATGGTAGTTTTGCAAATTTATAAAACAGGATCATAGGTCTAGGAAGGGTCATAACCCTACTCTCAAGAAAACTTTCTCTAGGGGTGACTGGGTGGCTCAGTCGGTTAAGTGGCCGACGTCGGCTCAGGTCACGATCTCGCGGTCCGTGAGTTCGAGCCCCGCGTCGGGCTCTGGGCTGATGGCTCAGAGCCTGGAGCCTGCTTCCCATTCTGTGTCTCCCTCTCTCTCTGCCCCTCCCCTGTTCATGCTCTGTCTCTCTCTGTCTCAAAAATAAATAAATGTTAAAAAAAAAAAAAAAAAACTTTCTCTAACCTTTTTCAAACAGTGTTTTCTCTCTTCTTTCCCAAAGACTTGACAAAACCTAGTCTTTTTCAGAAATCACTGGACTCATAACTAGGAGACGTCTGCTTGGGGCCTACCCTGTGCCAGGGACTGGGAACAGAAAGAGGACCCCGCCCTGAAGGGAGCCGTTGCAGAGACCAGGGCCCGGGAGACGCTGGCTGTGCTGGCGACACAGAATGTCCGTCCGGCACGTTCCGGGGGGAGGCGCGTGGTATGCTGGGCGGATGAGGCGCCGGCCAGCCAGGCACAACTTTCAGGGGCCAAAATGCAGGATTACTTCCGTTCTTCACGCAAATAATGTCTGCCCCACAAAGTTCGGAGCCATCTGTAAGCTGGAAAAGCGCGTCACGGGCATCTGTGTGTCTCCTCAACCCTCTGCGCTTCACGCGGCGGCTCGAGCATCACCGTCCTTCCTGGGTTCCGCTTGGCCCCTGGCCAGCCCGCCGCCCTCTTGCTTCTTCGTCTCTTGGCTGGCCTAGTTGTCCCCTTACCTCTTGCCTCTTCACCCCAGCGAGGGATCCTGTTGAGATCCTCCCAGCACGCCGCTCAGTCCCAGCTGCGGACCCTCCCTCCCTCACAGCCCTGAGAGCTGGCCGTGGCGGCTGTCATCGGTGCCCTTTCCTGGTGACGCTCAGGTCCCAGACAGGCGCTGGACCTAGGTGCCCGGGAACCAAACACAGGTATTATGGTTTCTAGTCAGGGTTTTGTCTACTCCCTTGTACCAAGCTGTCTGAGGATTTGCACACTTCTTTTATGATAGAATCAGGCCTTCTTCCGTTTTCGTTCTGCGTGTGCCTTCGTTGGCCACCAGCAGGAAAGCAGGCATGGGGGGTTTAGGGGCTGGGCCAGCGGCTCCTGGCAAGTCCTCAGCGTAGCCAGAACAGAGTCTCCCGCGTCCTCACCCAGAGCCCTTTGTCCTGACTCCACACCCTACCTCTCCCTTCAAGTTGTTGCTTCTGGTGTTTTCTGGTGCTTTTCCGGGCCCCTCCCTCCACACTCACCTCTCCCTCCAGCACTTTGTCATTGTCAGGCTGCAGATGAGCCAGTCCTCGGGTGCAAATCCACCTTCTTTAGTAGCTAAGGTCCCCACGGGTAGGGGCGCACCTCCCCGCCACCCCAGCAACATCTGGCACAAAGCTTGGCACTTGATCACACAGTTGTGGCGCTGAATTTAGAGGATGTAAGGGGATGACAGGCATAGCTGCAGCCCTCAGGAAGTGGCCAAATGAGGAGGGAAAGAAACGTACCAGTCACTGCAATAAATACTTGGCAAAAATGGAGACAAGATGGCGGAACAATCCTAATGCTAAAGACAGAAGTCTCAATTCCTGGAAGTTTCCGGAAAGAAGGGGGGCCCTATGCTTTAAATGAGAGGAGAAATGGGCTGGGACACTTGGCACCTTGTGGCTCTGTCCGATGCTGTCCCAGTTAGCTCCTTCCTCAGCTGTCACTAGAGTGCACCCACCACCTCCAGCCAAGCCTGCATGGGACGGATTCCGGTGGGAGAGCCACGCATGCCTACTGACACGGAGCCAGGAGGAAGCACACGCACATCTTTCAGGCTCTGCCCTCCCCGAAGGCAACAGTACTCCAGTGAGTGCTGGTCCAGAGGTGGGGAAGACGTGAGAACTTCATCAACGAGCCACCTACTCTGCCCTCTGCCTCCCAGTGGTCCACTAAAAAGCAGACACTGATGATGTTTGGGGTGGTCTGCCTTTTCCCTGTTGTTGCTCACTGATCCCTTCTCCCTGGATGCTTTTTCACCAAAAGCAATTCTTTTTTTTTTTTTTTTTTTTTTAATTTTTTTTCTTCAACGTTTATTTATTTTTGGGACAGGGAGAGACAGAGCATGAACGGGGGAGGGTCAGAGAGAGAGGGAGACAGAGAATCGGAAACAGGCTCCAGGCTCTGAGCCATCAGCCCAGAGCCTGACGCGGGGCTCGAACTCACGGACCGCAAGATCGTGACCTGGCTGAAGTCGGACGCTTAACCGACTGCGCCACCCAGGCGCCCCTCACCAAAAGCAATTCTATTTCTACAACAAAGTGGAGACAGAACAAGTTTCCAATCCAACCATGGGCCATAGAGTGACTCGGTCTTACTCCTGGAGAAGTCAAGGAGTAAGCAGAAACGCTGGATGTTTTCTAGTCCACCTCTGGGGACATTTGCTCCTTCCACAGCTAGATTTGCGAGGCACTGCTTAAGGAGACGCCCTCCTCCAGATTCTACCCATGCAACTACAGTAGCTGCCACTAGGGGGCTCGTTTTCACCTTTTAACCCCACAGGAAGCAAATTGTTGAGGGTGGGGATAAAACACATTCTTGCACCTGTAAGGGTGTCACCCCCCCCCCAAAGAGACAACACATTGAAAGAACAACATAGCATGCATGTCCATGCATGACCAACAAGAACATACCAGCGATGATAAAGTTCAACCACAGCATGTCTCATAATGCTTTTGCCACGAGCCACCTTTAAATTCAAGTGCACGATGACTTAATAAACAGGGGACAATATGTGCCTACTGCTTGCAACAGTCCTGGCATCCCTAATCCCTCCATGAGCACCCCCTCTTTGGAGCAGCAGAGTGGCTTCCTCTGGTTGCTCTGCGCCCCAGATTGCGCTAAGACAAGACTGGAGAAGGCAGCAGAAACAGCCCAGGGGAAGACTTGTGGGGAAGGGGAGGAATAAGAGAGCTCTCAATCATGGTCGTGGAGAAAATAGATGAATTTGAGGAAGGCCAGGACACTGGAATTAAATGAATACAGACGAAGGAGTAGATGGCTCCCAGATTTCGGGTGCAGGAACTTGGATAGAATCCAGAAGAACAAGGGCGTGGTTTGGGGACAGATGTGCTCTTTGAAAAATGATGAGTTTCCCAGGAGTCGATGCTAAAAATTTGGGGCTTATTCCGGAGAAAATGCGAAACCGTTGAAAGTTGCTGGGCTGAAAAAGAACCTGCTGAAATTTTAAGATCGTCGTGGCGAGTGAGGAAGGAAGAGGGTTGACCGGAGGGAGAAGGGGCTGGAGACAGAACCAGGCAGGATGCGTTCATCCAGCAAGAGTCAGAGGCCCTGAGCCAGGTCAGTGGGAGCTGAAAGACATCCCTTGTCCGGCCATCACAGCGGTGCTGGCCCCCAATAGCCCAGGGGAGGACCCCTGCCACTGCTCTGTACTGCTGCCTTCTGAAGGATTTCTCCAAAGGGGGTGCCTCAGTGCCCGGCTTCCTATCTGCCTTCATCTGAAATGCCATGAGCTTTTATTTTTTTATTTTTTTATTTTTTATTTTTTTTTTCAACGTTTATTTATTTTGGGGACAGAGAGAGACAGAGCATGAACGGGGAAGGGGCAGAGAGAGAGGGAGACACAGAATCGGAAACAGGCTCCAGGCTCTGAGCCGTCAGCCCAGAGCCCGACGCGGGGCTCGAACTCGCGGACCGCGAGATCGTGACCTGGCTGAAGTCGGACGCTTAACCGACTGCGCCACCCAGGCGCCCCTGCCATGAGCTTTTAGAGAGCACCCAGAGAACATCGTCAGGATGACAGCGACTTCAGGATCGACTCCTGGCTTGCTGGCAGGAAGAATGTGGGTAGGAAAAGGTTAAAGAAC